TAACCTCCATTTTGACAGTTCACTACATTGTGATGTCACCGTGACGTCACAGAAATAATGTTTCCAAAAATAGTTGTTTTTACATTTAGTGCAATTTGAATTATCTCTTACTTAATTTTTATAATTTCGTTAACGAGATAGAATCGATAGTATAAAGCACAAGCCTAATATCCATCTTATTAAATTAACTACATTTAATTCAATGACGTCACACGACAAATTTTATACATAAATCACGTGATATAAGGCGGTCGATATTTAAACTTTTTTCTTTTATAAGGTAGAGATTTTAAATACTTATCTAAATATATATAGTTCGATAAATCGAAATTATTTTTACAGTTTTTCAAACGAATTTATGTAGAACAGAGAAAACAATTACGGATCATTTTAGTTATCAGAACGTAACCGAAAGTCGATTCAATTCGTACTATTTGATAAAATATGATTCGAATTTTAATTAGTTTCAGAATTTAGGTCGTGCATATTTAAATAATTTCATTTACCATCAAATTTTCATTGATAAATCGTCAAAAATACAAGAACGACGTATGACACATTACAATGTATTAGCGACGCACATTAAAATCCACATCGTTAATTGATTTTAAAACAAATATCCTCAAGTTAAAAACAAATTCGGTAGAGAAAGTGTTAAAAAAACGCAAATTTACGAATAAATTGCCGCATATTAAATTTAATTTCTATCGACCGATGAATATAAATAAAATATATAATTTATTTCCATTAAATCTATCATTGTTATCAATTAAAAAATATATCACGACACACAGAAAGATATTTTCAAAGCAGAAAAATTGCATAAACAGGATTCAATATTACGCATTACATTCTAATTATAGTTTAAATATAGGTCTATAGTGCGTATTTAGGGAAATGAAGTCGAAAATTCGATTCTAACCTTTAATTTTAGTACGTTTTATAGAATAGTAAAAATTAAACATCGTCGGTCATTTATTTTATTACGTATAGACCTAACTTAATTAATAAACAAATTGAGTAACACAAACTGATTTTGTTGGCAGAAGTATAAATAGAAATTGATAAGTAAATATTTATTTCGGAATATTTTTAAAAATAATGAAAGCAACTCGTAAGCCTTAGTAGTCTTGTAATTCTAGAATACGATTATTTATTCTCTTTAATACAGAAATTAAGCAGTTCAAGATTTAAAATGATCGTGCAACTATAAGAGGGGATGTGGAAAGATGGCCTCGGGATAGAGCCCCCTTTTTTGAATAAATGAAATAGGTAGAATGTTTCTGTATTATTAAATGGCGGTCTTAAAGACTTTAGTTTTTGTTGGTAAATTTAACACGAATTTAGGGTAGAAACCACTACGGGCCTCACGTTTTTTCCGGGCTCGGGGAAAACTCTCGGTCCCCCTCTCGACGGTCCCGGCTGTGACGCTTTACCATCACCTTTAGTGACGTAGTCTAAAATATAATTTCTGCCAACCATTATTAGAGTGATAAATGAGTTTTAGTAAATAGCATATTATTATGAATTAATTTTTTAAAACTTTTTCGTAATATTTCCGATGTATAGAATGGCAGTTACGAAACTGTAACGAGGACTCTTATCTTCTAAAATTTTTTAATAAAATAAAAATGCAAAAAATCAGTACTTAACTAGATTTAAAACAAAAATCAAGTGATATATAAAAATTTGTTCTATTAAATATTAAATTTGTTGAAAATAAATAATTACTCAAAAATCTAATTGAAAAAAACTACTTTTAAATCATTGGACTATAACATACATTGTTAAAACTAATATTTGAAAGTCTATTATGAAAAAATGAACATTAGCATTGTTTTTTTTTAAACAAACTATTCTATAGCAATTCTAAAATGTTTTTCTAAATCAATAAAATTTCAAGACAACAAAATTAATATATAAATCTTAAGATTTATATGCAATGCTTACTGCACATAATTTATACACTGTATATTCTAATTGCAGATATTAAATCTCAAAAATAACTATATAGAAAAATTCTAAGAAACATTTACAATAATAACTATTACTGTTACTAAATTTACACAAAAGAAAATTTACAGGTTAAGTAAAAAAATTTTTAAACTAATCTATAAATTATGACAGATAAGCAAGAAGTCAATAATTCCAGAACAAACAATATAAAAAGAAATTTCAAGATTTTAAATTTAATCACTAATTTTTAATCAAATTACTTATAAAACTAGTTTAACATTATTATAAGATTAAAGTACTTTATAAAGGTGTTAAATTAGGAATNTTTAATTTTTATATATATTTTTTACAACTCCATAATTAACGTCTAATAGGAAAAAATTGCTTTATTTAAGTTTTTATCTATAAAACTGTTATTGTTATTTTATTTTTCAATGTATTAACTATAGATAAATCCAAAAATTAGATAAGAACGTGCAGTTCTATTGTTACAAATATCACATTCATGACTGATCAAAAAATTCTTTATAAACATTAGGCTATGATGTAAATATAAATTTGTTGTAATTTATATTTAAAAGTTATTCATTTCTTACATAAAAATTTTATATACTGTATTTAAATATTTAAAAATAAACTTTTCTTAAGATTTACGTTGCTCTTAATAAATCTTTAATTGGAAGAAAGATCAAAATTGCATATGTAATTTCATTTTCAAATATTCCATTAACACTGTAGCCCTATTTTATTAAAAACTAATATTTTTTAAGCCTATTAAATATTCTGTATCTTATACAAGTATCAAATAGAATAACTTGAAATTGCTAAGATACAATATTGATTAAATGTTGAAACAGCAATTATAATCTTCTCATGATGGAATCTTTATGATGTAATAACTGTAGTGTAATTACGAAATCCCTCCATTGCCTAAGTAATTTTTGGCTTAATCTACATGGCATTAACTTAATCCAAAGTATTCAATAAAAATATTTAAATTTGAAAATTTTGATAAATAAACTGTTTAACGAATACTTCTCGAAACAGACTGCTATATTTTCTAATAAAAATTGATTTGTGGAACAATTGATGTGTCGCGTGTTAAGATAGATCCGATTATTTTACATAAATGCATTAGTCGAATCTGTTCCGTATTAAAATAATATTAAATCAGACCTATATTTTATTAAATTAGTATTGTTTACAGGTGTAAGTATTTATTAAATCGTAGCATACTTTATATAACGTAATATAACTTAAAAATTATATAAATCTATAACACGGAATTGGAAAATACGCGTAACTAAATATATAGTTTATAAGGAAACGTCACGTAAACAAGGGGAAAAAATTGCTAAATTTTTAAATTCAGATTCTTCTTTTCCATATATACGTTAAAGAAAATCAATCCGCCAGTAGATATCGATGATTATTTTATTTAAAATTTCTTTTAGTGAATATTTCAATAGCATAATCAAATAAATTTTCCATAGCCTAACTCCGTGCTAGATGTAAAAGGTATGGATTAGATTTTAAAAAGGAAAACTTATATAAAATGCATTTTCTATTTCCTTTTAGTTGTCCTTCCAAAGAAATAAATTACTCAGATTTCTTATCGTTCTTATTTAGAGCATATTCTATGACTTTCATCGTTTTTGCTCTAATAGTTTCATCTGAAAAAAAAAAATATATATATATATATTTTCTTAATATACCTCGTATATATATATTAAGAAAAATTAAAGTTATATAAAATTTTGCTCTGCTGATATATTTTATGAAAGGATTACAATAAAAAAAATTTAATATAATCAGTAAATCTACTCGTATTTTAACATATCTTGTTTCATTATTTTCTTTTATTTGTAATGAAAAAAAAATGCTATAATTATATTTTTAATCTGTGAACTTTTTTCTAAGACATTTAATTTCTACTTAACGTGGTATTTTTATTTTTAAAAGTACGTAAGATGTATGCAGAAACCATATATAGCTTGATAATGTCTATTTTGACAAATTATGCAAGTGAAAAATAACTGATTAAAATTAGCCCTATAAACCAAATTTTTTACGTTATAACAACGGTTGTTTATTCCGTCCGAAGAGAGGAAAGAATTTCATTTTTCATGTTAAACTTATACGAGTATAAACCTCTTTCAGATTTGTTTTTCGGTTTATCTGCTAGCGTAGCGCAGTAACGAGAGCAAATTTTTCGAACAAAGGAAATTTGTAAAAAAGTACATTCAATATACGAAAAATGTTATTTCTATTAAAATTATACATGTAAATTTTATTACGTGATTTAATTTGCAGGCCTAAATTAAAAAGTAAATGAGCAAAATTTTATTTGAATTTTAAAAAATTATTTTCTAATAGATTCCACTTGTTACAGGAGTTTCTAACACTTTATAACTTTATACCATTGTATAGAGAATAATGTCCTCCGTTGATAAATGAACCGATTCCAGTTATAAATAAAGATGTTTTTCCACTTCTAATTAAATCTGAATAAGTTAAAAAAAAAAAGCTAGAATCATCATAAATAATTACTATGAAGATTCGTGGTAGATAATATAATCGAGAAAAATAAACAGTCGAATGCATCAAACTGTCATAATTAGGCGTATATCCAACTAGCTCCAATTATTTTCGTTGTACGTCAAACACTATTTCGGTTATTAAAAGTACACGGGGATAATATACAGTAATATACTGATTGGCAATATTTCATAAATGACTAATATTGCTTCAGCAAAAAGTCAATGCCTTAGAGAAATGAGTAATGGAAACTATACCAAGAATGAAATATCGATTAGAATTTCACCGAAATACATATATATGGCTGCACACGTAACTTTATACACCTTGCTAACGTCACAAATTATTGCAAAATATATCCCACGTAATACTAACGGGGATTATAATGTGTCGATATTCCTTTGTTTTTCATTTCTAAAGCATAAAAATTTTGAAAAATTGTCAACGGTTAAACGAGTCTCTAAGTAGACCATTTAAATATTCTTATTAAAAAAGAACAAAAACTCTAAATTAATACAAAAGTTTATTTCTAACCACATCAGTCAATCAATTATACAATTAGTATTTTCCGATTAACAATTCATTCTAAGTTTAATAAAAGAATTTAAATAACTTCACTATTACATACGAGATTTACGATTAACATAGCATAGATAACAAATTAAGAGGACCACGGCTGAAGATTTATTTCTGGAATATCGGTCGAATTGGCACAATGTACGATAGGATTCCTATTTTAAAAAATAAATAATAATTGATTAACAATAAATTTCGAAGTGTTATATATACATTGTCATTATCTAATTTACTAAAAAAATAATAATAAATAAATGTCATTACTTTTTACTTTCCGGGTGGAGAGCCCACTTTTGTATGGTAAGCAAATTATCCGAATTATCGCATAATACGCGAGATAAAGTAACTTTTCTTATTTCTCTTAACTGATCTGGAAAATAAAATCATAAACAACACGTTAAATATATTTACAAATTATTTCATTTGTTTAAAAAATATAAGATTACCTGGAGAGAATACATCTTTATTTTCATACCAAAATCGATCTCCTATTCGCATCCTCGCAAATTGTTCTGCTGTAAGACAAGAATGGGTTGGACCCAGTATACCAGCATTTTCTGATTTTCTTTCGGAAAGAGCAGCAGGTATCAGATCTACGTCATCGACGCTTCTGTAATAAATTTAAATAATAATTATTATTTTTACCGTCGTCCTCATATATTTTCTATTTATAGCAAAAATTAGTAAACAAGTAAATATATTAATTATAACGGTACCCGAAACGCTATATTTATTGAGTTTCGTTATTAATTAGTTAATTATATAATTAGATTAATATCTTGGAATCTCAACAAAAATTAAAATAAATCATATACCTTTTAAAGTATTAAATATACATAATCTATTAATAATTTAAAATGTTTATGTAGTTACATTTAATATTTTAAAACAATTTATGTATTCTTAAATATTCGATAAATGTACTGTACAGTACTGTACATATGCAAATATGTAAACAGTCTTTCCCAAATATTTCAGACTACTTCCCCCTTATGTATATATAGGCTATACATTGTATATTTGTTTGTTTCGAAATGAATTATTGTTCTTCCTTATCTTCTAGCACCCCTATAGCCCCTTGCCTTCCAGCATGCCCTCGAGTCTTCTACCACCCTCTTTGAGAACCACTGATGTAAAGCAAGTGTTGCTATGCAAATGATCAATTCCTACCAGTTAAGCGGCTACTGGGATAGTGCATTCATTGCTATTGCTGTTTCTGGAAAATTTTATAATTATTTATTTATTTTGATCGTTCTGGATGTAAAATATTTATATTCACAACAAATTAAAATAAACATTTTAATATTTATTTTAATGTTAGCCAGATTAATAATATACATGTCTAACAAACATTCACACTTATGTAAATATTAAAAAAAACTTGTAACATCATTAAATAAATTATTATAAATTTGAATTTTTTAGCACTAATTCCCTTTGCAACACGATATCAATAGAAATCCTAGAATGACAGGTGTAAGAATGAATAAGAATATTTTAAGATATTTTATAGTGAAATAATATACAGTATTTGATTTACTAAATGAAAAACCAAATTCCAATTATAATTAATTGGGTTCTATAAGATATTACAAAGAATAAAATAAATATAATAATATCTATTTTCTGATTAATTAAAGATACTAGAGGGTAATTGGAAAAATACGTGTCGATAATAATCACTGAAATCCAATTCCTGTTGACAAAGAAATAAGATTTTGAAGGCATTGAAAAAATTTAGATTATTTTAAAATTTTTACGACAATTTTTTTTTAATTTTCATATCTAATTATTTAAGAATCATAAGCAAAGAATGATCTACTAAGAATTTTACTTCAGTTTAGTATAATTATAATACCCTATACTCAAAGGCAATTTTTCGAAGAATCGGATAATAGTTTATTCTTTGAGGAAAAACACTTATTTATAGGGTTTTATATAGCTTAACGAAATCCGCATTTAAATGTCTAAAATCATTTCAAATTTCTTTTATGATTATCTTATTTTATTAGTTTAATTTACATTCGATAATGTTACTTTAAAATTAATTTTACGTGCATTTTTAAATACATTTTAGACAAGCGAAAAATAAGTCAGGGCTTATCCAAACAGGTTAGGTGGGTCTATATACCAGTGGTTCTTAACCTTTTTATATTCGCGGCCCACCAAATATTTCATAATTTTTTTGTGACCCCCATTTTTTAATAATAATTTATATTTGTTAAGTTATCTATAATAAATTGATTTTTGTTATTATTGCTTTATTTTTTTATATAATAAATGTAAACATAACTTTATTATTTCATTATCTATTTAAACAACATTCAAACTCCACAATTAAACATAAAAACTCATTAATTTTTAACAAAAAATAAAATAAAAGACATTTAAAACTTCAGAAAAAACAAAAAATATTCGAAAATATGTAGTAGCGAAAAGCAACAAATTTTGCATTGCTGCTGAAAACAGGGGAGGATATTTTGCGCGAATTTGTATCCAGAATTCCAAGCATTAATAGTTTCTTAGAATTACTTTGGAATAAAAGAAGTAAATACTGCGGTGTAAATAGCATATTTGCATTTATTTCTTCTGTACTAACAAAGTTGTATGTACGAAAAAATAAGAAACAAATTAAAAAAACTATATGAAAACTTTATCTTTCTTATTTCACTTTTCAATGCGATATTAGGTTATACATCAATTTTGGTTTTATTATATTCTGAAGGAAATTTTGCATAACTTGGTGGCCCCCAGGCAAAATTCTTATGGACCCCCCAGGGGGCCGTGGTCCCCCTGTTAAGAAACACTGCTATATACGATAGAAACTCCTCCATTAAACGAGATTTGGTCAACCGGGGATTAGATCAATCGGGTCTGATATTCAAGATCTTTAAAAAAGAATTTGTACATTACGTACAAATGAATCTTAAATAATTAAATAATGTGGGATTTAAAAACTGTACTTACATAATGCGTTAGTTTCTGCTTTCGTATAGAGTTGCTACTACGGCTCATGTTTGTCATCGTAAAACACAAAATAGGAATTGTGTCTGATGGAAAAATAACTTTTAATAATCGTGTTGAAAGGGCAATTAAAGCTTTAGCCGTTAAACGTGATATTCTGTGGAGAAACTGTCACAGCTTTGCATCAAGATCGGTACCAAGACCGAGCTTTTTTTTAATTACTAATTTTCGATTATGGACTTCCAATATGGTTTTCAGCCTCGCAATCTTCTTTGAAGAAGGTCGTTATGGCATTAAATAAAGTTTATTTCCTTTTAAACAAGTTAAGCAACTTGCCTTACACTGAATCCGCACATAACTTATAGCACAGTCACGTTTAATGTTAGGCTACCTGAATTAAATAATCGTGTTATGTATTCCGATAGAATTATCTTTTATAAAAGTTTTGATGGATTTATTCCACCCTACAATATTAATTTACGTTTGTCGGGAGAACTACGCTTTACGATTCGTGTTTTTACATTTCCAATTTTCGGTTAAATGCTGTGCATAGACCTTTTCTGTATCGTGCTATCACAAATGCTACAGAAGTAGAGATTTTATTACGCGCCTCCCTTTACTCCTTTTAAACTTTACTATAAAAGATGTATGTACCATATTATTTCGTTTTCAATTTGTTCTATTTTAGCTTGTAGGTGTTTATTCTTGTTTCTCTGGAGGCCAGTCATCTCTAGCCTCTGTATTTAAAAAGGCTGTACTGTAAAATTTCAAAAAGAAAATGCTCGTAATTAATTGTTCGGTGGATATAGGACAGAACACTGAAAAAAAAACTTTTTGTGATTTCGGTATCGGAAAGCAAACAAACTGTGCGTAATCTGAATTTAAAACTAAAATTCACTGCTGCATCATCCAGGAAAACTGAAAAAATCAATGTTACATAATTTCGATTCTGCTGTTTTTCTTCACTAGTCATGTTAATTCTAACTTTGAAATAAATGAAAATACAATATTATAAATGCGAATATTATTACTCGAGGCTTTCGATTATCAGGGCAAACCTTTTTCCACCATTGCACCGATTAATAGAATTTCTATCGTATTACACTAAAATTTAAATTCATAACATTTACTAGTCAAGATATAATTTAGAGTATTTTAAAAATATTCTCTTAATTTTAAAGACACAGTAAACACCAGTAATATGAAATCGCGTCATAAATTTTTAAAAAATATCTTATAAATATTAATTCAAATCTCACTCATATAATTTTTTCAGTCTTTTGGCATTTTCTTCATCTAATACGTCTTCTAATTGTTCCCAAGAGGTGATTTTGGAGAAACCGCAATACTGTCTCCATATGTTATACGAAGGTATTCCGTGATCTCTACTTCTTTGAATACTAATGGAAGATAAATCCATCCCATAATGAGAGTAATGGGATTGAAACAATCTGTTCCGAACCTGTTTTTCGATAAAATACACTCCGTAAATTTAATATTACATATTGTTCCTGTTTAAATCTAATTGATTCTTTACCTCGTCGGAAATTTGACTCCAAACAATTTTCGATCGTTGTTTTGTTGCTCCGCGAATAACGTCGTCTAAACCTTCCGTGTAGAAGACAGTTGGATTAAAAAATGTATCGTGTAGAGGAAGTTTCTTTTCATCGCCCTTTGATGAATAAAGCTGAATGTAACTCTAACATAAAGAAAATAATAAAGTTAAAAAATGAGTATATGAGTGGCAAAATACGATGCTGTGGCCATGCGGACGCGAGCGAGCGAATGAGCGAATGTAATGACGTCCGATATGGAATTTCTCACTTTCTTGTTTCTCTCTCTCTGGCAATAGAGTGAATCTTTCACTTTCGTTCTAGAGAACAGGAAGAAAACGGATCGCGGCGTTTGCTATCTTTCTTTTGATCATTTTTTAATCGTTTATCCCGTATTTCGGAATAACGCAATGAATTAATTTCAAAGAAATTCTGATCATTTTTCCTCTCTTATTTACGCCGAAGAAGCCACGTTTGAATCGTACACACACACAGAAGAACGCTAAAACGCAGGTGAGAAGCTAATGTGCAAGCGCATTATAAATGGAAAACGTCAAACAATTTTCGCGATAAACATCAGAACCAAATATCTGTCAGATTGAGATTTTCTGTCCGCGAGCGAGAGATTCTATTTCTGAACGGTTACGCTTTGCGAGAGCGAATTCGCTACAAACTTCTCGCATCTGTATGACCTTAATCTTAGAAGTATTTATTAAAAATAAATAAATAAAACGTAAAGTTAAATTGCTGTATTTTATAAATTTAAATAAAATATATTCAAATTTACCTGAACTTGTGAGTGGCCAAACCTAAATGCAGCAGAAGCAAAAACATTGCTGGCGGTAGCGTCAGAAGATGCATTGTAACCATCGAAGTAACCATCCGATAGCAATTTGAGATTATATTTATTGATATTTTCAATCCCTGTTTATATACCCGAAAGACGATAAATTTTGTAAATTTATTAATTATAATGAAAAATGAAATACTTAAAGAAGGGAATTACCGAAAAGCAGAGGCAAATATTCGTTGTATGTAATATGCTGCAATTCTGCAATAACAATTTTTCTCGCTTCCTGAAATAATGTTTCGTCATCCCACTCAGGATTTAAGTTTTCTAGGATCTCGGCTAAACGGTTGTGCTCTCTCATCCAAATCGTATGAATTACTGTTAATTCTACGTGTTCGTTAGCTCTTCTATCTCCTATAATAGTAAATACATGTGTCACTTATAGTGGATAATGTTTTTTCTACACAGAAATATATTAATATACCTCGTAGATCTGTAAGTTTTAATTAGCCTATATATAGGCTATTATATAAATCAGTTCTCGCGCAAAAAATATTTTAAAAATTCACAATTATATAAAAATAATGAGGATTAGCTCGTCGGATGCTTGTCGTTAGATAAACCATACATAAATTACACATACGATCTGCAATATCAGTGTTGCAACAGTTATCTCTGCGGTATTGATAATCTATGTACTAAAAGTCAGATTATTTGTTTGGTTTGATGATTGTACAATAAAAACAGCACAGAATACTGCCACATTTGTAAGAATCCCCGGATTAGCTAGTTGTCGCAGTTTTTAATAAGTAATGAACCAGTTCATATCTATATCTTCCTTTAATGACAGATATCTCGTATACCGGTAATTCCTTGCTCTAACGGTTGTAATTTACTAGTGCAGCTGGATCGAATCAACACAATTTTTATATATTTAAGTGTAGTTATGAGCAGTGCATCTGTTCAAAAACAATTTTCCCGTTTCTCATATTCTTCGATCGAACCAAGCAAGGTAACATAAATTGCATGTGTTCATTCATGAAGATTTGGAATGCCTATAAAAGGTAAATTTCTGATATTTTTCAAGCATCTTGGCATTTTATATTTGCCCATGACTAACGGCTCTAATTTTCACTACCATCTGCCCATCTGCATTACAACAGAAAAGAACCGTATACAGTACTGTATCTTTCTTTGTTTTTCCTTCGTGGCAAGAATCTTCTTTTACAGAAAGTGTCTTTTGTAGTAAATTAAAAAAAAACCAGACTTGTCTGCATTAAATATATCCTTAGCGTAATTTCCATTCATAAATGTTTGTAACGTTACTTGCCACTCATTTTAGGTTGTCAACTCATTTTAGGTTTGGAATTAGTCTTGTGCGTTTTAGTTCACTTTAAAGATCGGTCAATTTAGTTCATCACACCTGAATGAACTAGTTCGTTCTTTTAGTTCATTTAGTTCAGGGACCTACAAATTGCTTGTGCATCCTAATTCACATTATAGTTCGTTCAATTTAATTCAGATCAACACACCAGTGTTAAGATCACCTGAGAACTGAGAAGAAACTTAAAACGTTATAATCAAAGCAGACCAAAAACTAGAACGAAATTTTATAAAGGAAAAAGCACGATTTATTATATAAATTTGTTCGTAGCTTAGGTATAGGCCTATATGATAATTCATATATATCAATATATTTATATATACGGTATATCAGTCCTTATTTTATCGTATCTTAGTTGATATCCCCATATAATGTCCAATGATTCTCCGCATTCACTAGTGTATAGCAATTTTTATTTAAAATTTAGTTTTTCTAGCGCTTTTTCCTTATAGCGCATGCAACAACGAAAAAGAATACATACTTTTATATAGACCGATTTTAACTCGAATAGATAAGTTCACACGGTGTAAAGTGAATAATTATTTAGTTTATTCAACACCTGAATACAGCGCAACACACGCACATAACAACGAACTAGATAATATTGGTCAGGAACTAAAGAACTAAAAAAAGTGAGCAGTTGTGAACTAGTTCACTCTGGTCACTTGAGAGATCGATCTTTCGAACTAGTTCGTTCACGAACTACCCAAGCCTATTCGGAATTACACTGTTAAAAATTGTTCGGTAAACAAAAACTGTTCGTAAACGTTCCGAAAAATAGACGAAGAGTTTTATTTTTGTTGTCCGTTTTACTTCGTGAGAAGTTGGTACTACAAACTGTAATCCGAATTATATTCATTATCATTATTTTTCGTTTTTTTCTATTTTTTGTGTCTTTTCGCCCCGAAGACCCTAAGAAGGGGGACTATTTTAATTATACCAATCGCCGCTAGGCCTGCAGTGGCAGTGGCAGTATCCGAAACGAAAATTCCTTGGGTTTTTCGACCTGTCTTGATTCATTTGTGCCTGTTCGCCATATTAGAGAGGTTGAGGCCGAAGTTCAAACTTTAAACTTGTACCTTAAGCAGAAGTACACGCTTCACGTTTGAGCTCCAAGCAAAACACATTACGCCACACATTTACGTGGTGCACTGATTCATGGGATATTGTTGAAAAATGACGGAAACATTCGAGAACGACGAAGGTTACCAGCGAAGGTAAATAAACAAATTAAACTATTTCTAGAAATTTACAAACAATTATGCTGTTGATGGTAGAAGATGCCGTGAAAGAACAAACCTATTTCTACAGTGTTATGATAAACTATTATGTACACAAAACTGTATATAAAAATTCTATAGGCACTTCACATCACTTGCAAAAAAATTAAATAATTAAATAATTTCTGTATTAAAATCGTGTATTTTTTATGATGTTATTCATAAATGTTTAAATAATCATTATTGTAATAATCAAGGAAAGGAAGAAATATTTCCAAGATTGTAGGTTTTCTTTTGCTGTTCACTTTTTCAAGTTTGTATTTCTTTTTTTTACGTTGTGTTTGGAGTTTGTTATTCTGAAAGTTGGCAACCTATATTCATCTAGAATGCAAGGATTTACAGACTATATGATTCTTCTCCTGACATTTTCAATGTTGCTAAGTTCCAACGTGTTTCGAACTTTCCTAACCAACCATTGAAAGTACGAAAATCCTGTCCTCCCAACCGACAAATCCATGGCTCTTCGCTCCAGGATCGGTTCCGAAACCGGAAGATTTTTAGCTCTGGCTTCCGTTAACCAGTTAAACATAAGTTTATCAAGCCCTTCATTTTTTACTTGGCGCTATGGAATGCGACTAGGACAAAGTTGAACCGCTACTTCNGAGAATACATCTTTATTTTCATACCAAAATCGATCTCCTATTCGCATCCTCGCAAATTGTTCTGCTGTAAGACAAGAATGGGTTGGACCCAGTATACCAGCATTTTCTGATTTTCTTTCGGAAAGAGCAGCAGGTATCAGATCTACGTCATCGACGCTTCTGTAATAAATTTAAATAATAATTATTATTTTTACCGTCGTCCTCATATATTTTCTATTTATAGCAAAAATTAGTAAACAAGTAAATATATTAATTATAACGGTACCCGAAACGCTATATTTATTGAGTTTCGTTATTAATTAGTTAATTATATAATTAGATTAATATCTTGGAATCTCAACAAAAATTAAAATAAATCATATACCTTTTAAAGTATTAAATATACATAATCTATTAATAATTTAAAATGTTTATGTAGTTACATTTAATATTTTAAAACAATTTATGTATTCTTAAATATTCGATAAATGTACTGTACAGTACTGTACATATGCAAATATGTAAACAGTCTTTCCCAAATATTTCAGACTACTTCCCCCTTATGTATATATAGGCTATACATTGTATATTTGTTTGTTTCGAAATGAATTATTGTTCTTCCTTATCTTCTAGCACCCCTATAGCCCCTTGCCTTCCAGCATGCCCTCGAGTCTTCTACCACCCTCTTTGAGAACCACTGATGTAAAGCAAGTGTTGCTATGCAAATGATCAATTCCTACCAGTTAATCGGCTACTGCGATAGTGCATTCATTGCTATTGCTGTTTCTGGAAAATTTTATAATTTATTTATTTATTTTGATCGTTCTGGATGTAAAATATTTATATTCACAACAAATTAAAATAAACATTTTAATATTTATTTTAATGTTAGCCAGATTAATAATATACATGTCTAACAAACATTCACACTTATGTAAATATTAAAAAAAAACTTGTAACATCATTAAATAAATTATTATAAATTTGAATTTTTTAGCACTAATTCCCTTTGCAACACGATATCAATAGAAATCCTAGAATGACAGGTATAAGAATGAATAAGAATATTTTAAGATATTTTATAGTGAAATAATATACAGTATTTGATTTACTAAATGAAAAACCAAATTCCAATTATAATTAATTGGGTTCTATAAGATATTACAAAGAATAAAATAAATATAATAATATCTATTTTCTGATTAATTAAAGATACTAGAGGGTAATTGGAAAAATACGTGTCGATAATAATCACTGAAATCCAATTCCTGTTGACAAAGAAATAAGATTTTGAAGGCATTGAAAAAATTTAGATTATTTTAAAATTTTTACGACAATTTTTTTTTAATTTTCATATCTAATTATTTAAGAATCATAAGCAAAGAATGATCTACTAAGAATTTTACTTCAGTTTAGTATAATTATAATACCCTATACTCAAAGGCAATTTTTCGAAGAATCGGATAATAGTTTATTCTTTGAGGAAAAACACTTATTTATAGGGTTTTATATAGCTTAACGAAATCCGCATTTAAATGTCTAAAATCATTTCAAATTTCTTTTATGATTATCTTATTTTATTAGTTTAATTTACATTCGATAATGTTACTTTAAAATTAATTTTACGTGCATTTTTAAATACATTTTAGACAAGCGAAAAATAAGTTAGGGCTTATCCAAACAGGTTAGGTGGGTCTATATACCAGTGGTTCTTAACCTTTTTTTATTCGCGGCCCACCAAATATTTCATAATTTTTTTGTGACCCCCATTTTTTAATAATAATTTATATTTGTTAAGTTATCTATAATAAATTTATTTTTGTTATTATTGCTTTATTTTTTTATATAATAAATGTAAACATAACTTTATTATTTCATTATCTATTTAAACAACATTCAAACTCCACAATTAAACATAAAAACTCATTAATTTTTAACAAAAAATAAAATAAAAGACATTTAAAACTTCAGAAAAAACAAAAAATATTCGAAAATATGTAGTAGCGAAAAGCAACAAATTTTGCATTGCTGCTGAAAACAGGGGAGGATATTTTGCGCGAATTTGTATCCAGAATTCCAAGCATTAATAGTTTCTTAGAATTACTTTGGAATAAAAGAAGTAAATACTGCGGTGTAAATAGCATATTTGCATTTATTTCTTCTGTACTAACAAAGTTGTATGTACGAAAAAATAAGAAACAAATTAAAAAAACTATATGAAAACTTTATCTTTCTTATTTCACTTTTCAATGCGATATTAGGTTATACATCAATTTTGGTTTTATTATATTCTGAAGGAAATTTTGCATAACTTGGTGGCCCCCAGGCAAAATTCTTATGGACCCCCCAGGGGGCCGTGGTCCCCCTGTTAAGAAACACTGCTATATACGATAGAAACTCCTCCATTAAACGAGATTTGGTCAACCGCGGATTAGATCAATCGGGTCTGATATTCAAGATCTTTAAAAAAGAATTTGTACATTACGTACAAATGAATCTTAAATAATTAAATAATGTGGGATTTAAAAACTGTACTTACATAATGCGTTAGTTTCTGCTTTCGTATAGAGTTGCTACTACGGCTCATGTTTGTCATCGTAAAACACAAAATAGGAATTGTGTCTGATGGAAAAATAACTTTTAATAATCGTGTTGAAAGGGCAATTAAAGCTTTAGCCGTTAAACGTGATATTCTGTGGAGAAACTGTCACAGCTTTGCATCAAGATCGGTACCAAGACCGAGCTTTTTTTTAATTACTAATTTTCGATTATGGACTTCCAATATGGTTTTCAGCCTCGCAATCTTCTTTGAAGAAGGTCGTTATGGCATTAAATAAAGTTTATTTCCTTTTAAACAAGTTAAGCAACTTGCCTTACACTGAATCCGCACATAACTTATAGCACAGTCACGTTTAATGTTAGGCTACCTGAATTAAATAATCGTGTTATGTATTCCGATAGAATTATCTTTTATAAAAGTTTTGATGGATTTATTCCACCCTACAATATTAATTTACGTTTGTCGGGAGAACTACGCTTTACGATTCGTGTTTTTACATTTCCAATTTTCGGTTAAATGCTGTGCATAGACCTTTTCTGTATCGTGCTATCACAAATGCTACAGAAGTAGAGATTTTATTACGCGCCTCCCTTTACTCCTTTTAAACTTTACTATAAAAGATGTATGTACCATATTATTTCGTTTTCAATTTGTTCTATTTTAGCTTGTAGGTGTTTATTCTTGTTTCTCTGGAGGCCAGTCATCTCTAGCCTCTGTATTTAAAAAGGCTGTACTGTAAAATTTCAAAAAGAAAATGCTCGTAATTAATTGTTCGGTGGATATAGGACAGAACACTGAAAAAAAAACTTTTTGTGATTTCGGTATCGGAAAGCAAACAAACTGTGCGTAATCTGAATTTAAAACTAAAATTCACTGCTGCATCATCCAGGAAAACTGAAAAAATCAATGTTACATAATTTCGATTCTGCTGTTTTTCTTCACTAGTCATGTTAATTCTAACTTTGAAATAAATGAAAATACAATATTATAAATGCGAATATTATTACTCGAGGCTTTCGATTATCAGGGCAAACCTTTTTCCACCATTGCGCCGATTAATAGAATTTCTATCGTATTACACTAAAATTTAAATTCATAATATTTACTAGTCAAGATATAATTTAGAGTATTTTAAAAATATTCTCTTAATTTTAAAGACACAGTAAACACCAGTAATATGAAATCGCGTCATAAATTTTTAAAAAATATCTTATAAATATTAATTCAAATCTCACTCATATAATTTTTTCAGTCTTTTGGCATTTTCTTCATCTAATACGTCTTCTAATTGTTCCCAAGAGGTGATTTTGGAGAAACCGCAATACTGTCTCCATATGTTATACGAAGGTATTCCGTGATCTCTACTTCTTTGAATACTAATGGAAGATAAATCCATCCCATAATGAGAGTAATGGGATTGAAACAATCTGTTCCGAACCTGTTTTTCGATAAAATACACTCCGTAAATTTAATATTACATATTGTTCCTGTTTAAATCTAATTGATTCTTTACCTCGTCGGAAATTTGACTCCAAACAATTTTCGATCGTTGTTTTGTTGCTCCGCGAATAACGTCGTCTAAACCTTCCGTGTAGAAGACAGTTGGATTAAAAAATGTATCGTGTAGAGGAAGTTTCTTTTCATCGCCCTTTGATGAATAAAGCTGAATGTAACTCTAACATAAAGAAAATAATAAAGTTAAAAAATGAGTATATGAGTGGCAAAATACGATGCTGTGGCCATGCGGACGCGAGCGAGCGAATGAGCGAATGTAATGACGTCCGATATGGAATTTCTCACTTTCTTGTTTCTCTCTCTCTGGCAATAGAGTGAATCTTTCACTTTCGTTCTAGAGAACAGGAAGAAAACGGATCGCGGCGTTTGCTATCTTTCTTTTGATCATTTTTTAATCGTTTATCCCGTATTTCGGAATAACGCAATGAATTAATTTCAAAGAAATTCTGATCATTTTTCCTCTCTTATTTACGCCGAAGAAGCCACGTTTGAATCGTACACACACACAGAAGAACGCTAAAACGCAGGTGAGAAGCTAATGTGCAAGCGCATTATAAATGGAAAACGTCAAACAATTTTCGCGATAAACATCAGAACCAAATATCTGTCAGATTGAGATTTTCTGTCCGCGAGCGAGAGATTCTATTTCTGAACGGTTACGCTTTGCGAGAGCGAATTCGCTACAAACTTCTCGCATCTGTATGACCTTAATCTTAGAAGTATTTATTAAAAATAAATAAATAAAACGTAAAGTTAAATTGCTGTATTTTATAAATTTAAATAAAATATATTCAAATTTACCTGAACTTGTGAGTGGCCAAACCTAAATGCAGCAGAAGCAAAAACATTGCTGGCGGTAGCGTCAAAAGATGCATTGTAACCATCGAAGTAACCATCCGATAGCAATTTGAGATTATATTTATTGATATTTTCAATCCCTGTTTATATACCCGAAAGACGATAAATTTTGTAAATTTATTAATTATAATGAAAAATGAAATACTTAAAGAAGGGAATTACCGAAAAGCAGAGGCAAATATTCGTTGTATGTAATATGCTGCAATTCTGCAATAACAATTTTTCTCGCTTCCTGAAATAATGTTTCGTCATCCCACTCAGGATTTAAGTTTTCTAGGATCTCGGCTAAACGGTTGTGCTCTCTCATCCAAATCGTATGAATTACTGTTAATTCTACGTGTTCGTTAGCTCTTCTATCTCCTATAATAGTAAATACATGTGTCACTTATAGTGGATAATGTTTTTTCTACACAGAAATATATTAATATACCTCGTAGATCTGTAAGTTTTAATTAGCCTATATATAGGCTATTATATAAATCAGTTCTCGCGCAAAAAATATTTTAAAAATTCACAATTATATAAAAATAATGAGGATTAGCTCGTCGGATGCTTGTCGTTAGATAAACCATACATAAATTACACATACGATCTGCAATATCAGTGTTGCAACAGTTATCTCTGCGGTATTGATAATCTATGTACTAAAAGTCAGATTATTTGTTTGGTTTGATGATTGTACAATAAAAACAGCACAGAATACTGCCACATTTGTAAGAATCCCCGGATTAGCTAGTTGTCGCAGTTTTTAATAAGTAATGAACCAGTTCATATCTATATCTTCCTTTAATGACAGATATCTCGTATACCGGTAATTCCTTGCTCTAACGGTTGTAATTTACTAGTGCAGCTGGATCGAATCAACACAATTTTTATATATTTAAGTGTAGTTATGAGCAGTGCATCTGTTCAAAAACAATTTTCCCGTTTCTCATATTCTTCGATCGAACCAAGCAAGGTAACATAAATTGCATGTGTTCATTCATGAAGATTTGGAATGCCTATAAAAGGTAAATTTCTGATATTTTTCAAGCATCTTGGCATTTTATATTTGCCCATGACTAACGGCTCTAATTTTCACTACCATCTGCCCATCTGCATTACAACAGAAAAGAACCGTATACAGTACTGTATCTTTCTTTGTTTTTCCTTCGTGGCAAGAATCTTCTTTTACAGAAAGTGTCTTTTGTAGTAAATTAAAAAAAAACCAGACTTGTCTGCATTAAATATATCCTTAGCGTAATTTCCATTCATAAATGTTTGTAACGTTACTTGCCACTCATTTTAGGTTGTCAACTCATTTTAGGTTTGGAATTAGTCTTGTGCGTTTTAGTTCACTTTAAAGATCGGTCAATTTAGTTCATCACACCTGAATGAACTAGTTTGTTCTTTTAGTTCATTTAGTTCAGGGACCTACAAATTGCTTGTGCATCCTAATTCACATTATAGTTCGTTCAATTTAATTCAGATCAACACACCAGTGTTGAGATCACCTGAGAACTGAGAAGAAACTTAAAACGTTATAATCAAAGCAGACCAAAAACTAGAACGAAATTTTATAAAGGAAAAAGCACGATTTATTATATAAATTTGTTCGTAGCTTAGGTATAGGCCTATATGATAATTCATATATATCAATATATTTATATATACGGTATATCAGTCCTTATTTTATCGTATCTTAGTTGATATCCCCATATAATGTCCAATGATTCCCCGCATTCACTAGTGTATAGCAATTTTTATTTAAAATTTAGTTTTCCTAGCACTTTTTCCTTATAGCGCATGCAAGAACGAAAAAAGAATGTATACTTTTAAATAGACCGATTTTAACTCAAATAGATAAGTTCACACAGTGTAAAGTGAATAATTATTTAGTTTATTCAACACTTGAATACAGCGTAACACACGCACATAACAACGAACTAGATAATATTGGTCAGGAACTAAAGAACTAAAAAAAGTGAGCAGTTGTGAACTAGTTCACTCTGGTCACTTGAGAGATCGATCTTTCGAACTACCCAAGCTTATTCGGAATTACAGTTACTGTTAAAAATTGTTCGGTAAACAAAAACTGTTCGTAAACGTTCCGAAAAATAGACGAAGAGTTTTATTTTTGTTGTCCGTTTTACTTCGTGAGAAGTTGGTACTATAAGCTGTAATTCGAATTATTTTCATTATCATTATTTTTAGTTTTTTTTTCTATTTTTGTGTCTTTTCGCCCCGAAGACCCTAAGAAGGGGACTATTTTAATTATACCAATCGCCGCTAGGCCTGCAGTGGCAGTGGCAGTATCCGAAACGAAAATTCCTTGGGTTTTTCGACCTGTCTTGATTCATTTGTGCCTTTTCGCCATATTAGAGTGGTTGCGGCCGAAGTTCAAACTTTAAACTTGTACCTTAAGCAGAAGTACACGTTTCACGTTTGAACTCCAAGCAAAACATGTTACGCCACACGTTCACGTGACGCACTGATTCATGGAATATTGTTGAAAAATGACGGAAACATTCCAGAACGACCAAGGTTACCAGCGAAGTTAAATAAACAAATTAAACTATTTCTAGAAATTTACAAACAATTATGCTGTTGATGGTAGAAGATGCCATGAAAGAACAAACCTATTTGTACAGTGTTATGATAAACTATTATGTACACAATATATAAAAATTCTATAGGCACTTCACATCACTTGCAAAAAAATTGAATAATTAAATAATTTCTGTATTAAAATCGTCTGTTCCTTTACAATGTTATTCATAAATGCTTAAATAATCATTATTTTAATAAAGTACGTCATAATTTTAACCCAAAACACAGAAAAACGCAGATGATTAAACCGAACTTCTACTCGTCATGCCCGACGTTCCAAACGTCATTGTCTTGGCTTTACAGACGACGCCATATTGTAAACCAAGATGGCGGCGCTCGACGTTCGACGTTGACGTTTTAGAGACGAAAACTTCGGCCGCAACCTCTCTATTATACGCTTTTGTCCTTTTGTTCTTATGACAATTTTCCCTGCTCTTTGTTCTTTCCACCTCCTAGAATTTTCTAATTTTCTTAATTAATTATTCTTTCTTGAAGGTGAGGGCCACTTCCTAGAATTTACCAACATCGTATGCGAGCTTATCTGAGGACATACGAAGCACGGAAGGTCACTTTTGGATTGGTGCTTGACGACAAAAGACCATGAAAAAGAGAGAGCCTTTACAGTGTCCGGTGCCAGCGAGACAGGTGAAACTACAACTTCGAGTGGAAACTGAAATTCCAGTGCCGAAGTTAGTGTATTAGAGCCGGCTTTTACGATCAAGCTTTGGGTCAAGGCCTAGATAATCACGCATGCGCTCATTCCAAGCTTCGGAGATATCTTTAACCGTGCGACCAGCTGTTGTAATCAACTATCCACAAGTTTCCAGAGAAGGTTCACGTATTTTCCCGTACTGTAGCGCCACCGTTGCGCGGCCATTAAGATACTGCAAGAACTACTAACTGCAGAACTATACAATTGAGAATATAGAAGACTGCAAGTTTTCTATTGCTCATCACTTTTTTAAGTTTGTGTTTTTTTACGTTGTGTTTGGAGTTTGTTATCCTGAAAGTTGGCAACCTGTATTCATCTAGAATGCAAGGATTTACAGACTATATGCTTCTTCTCCTGACATTTTCAATGTTGCTAAGTTCCAACGTGTTTCGAACTTTCCTAACCAACCATTGAAAGTACGAAAATCCTGTCCTCCCAACCGACAAATCCATGGCTCTTCGCTCCAGGATCGGTTCCGAAACCGGAAGATTTTTAGCTCTGGCTTCCGTTAACCAGTTAAACATAAGTTTATCAAGCCCTTCATTTTTTACTTGGCGCTATGGCATGCGACTAGGACAAAGTTGAACCGCTACTTCTATTTCTGTGCCTTTCTTCAAAATTGAAGTGTCTAAAGTAATATTGCAAACGACTTTGCTAGTCTATCTTTCTTTTTCCATTTGCCTTAAAAATATGTAATTTAACATCCATCGATAGCTTCTGCTTTTTCTTCGACATATCGAGATCTCCTAAATGAACATTTGTTAAAAAAGGCGTTTAAACAAAAATTCACTTTACAGATTCAGAAGATTGCAGGAACTTCTGGGAATCTTAATATTGCTTACATCGTATTTTTAATACTGTTTCTTAGATTATCTAAAAGATCAAACGGAGCTTACTCAAGTAAACATTCCTAGTACTGTATGTAATTTGATGGCTGGATGGCCGAGCTTAGTAACGATTAAGGTGGCAGTATACAGTTATAATTACAGATAACTTAATATAATTTATAATCGATAGCAATATAACTTACTACAATATACTTTAGTAAATTACATCTCTATCGGATTATAAATTATATCGTATACTCATACAGAAAGTCCACCATCATAATTGGTCTGGTTTATTTATTTACGGCCAAATGACACGTGGGCGATCTGCCGAGGGAATGCCTGCGGGAAGACTTTTATGGGAAACTGGCACCTATTTAGATATTACTAACACGAAACCCGGAAAATTGCAGCCAGCCACGTGCAGTTTTCCGGGTTTTCTTCACCTTTACCACGTGCGAACCCACGACCGGTTTTGGGTAGTTTTATCCACTTGGCCATTGGTGGCACCATCATTATTATAATAATCCTTTATAACATTATACTTTGCCGATAAAAAATGCAAATAAAAGTCTATAATTTCATAAGTGATAAAAAAGAAATTACAATATTATTATTTANCAAGGGAGCAATGTGGTCAAGGGAAATCTAGGAGCCCAGAGGTTTTACCGGGGCCCGTACTGTCTCTCCACGGGGCTGCATTATGTATTACAATTATATTAATATATGTATAAACTACGTACGATACCATATAGACTAAATATTTAAACTTTTTATATATGAATATTACGGAAAATTGTTTCCTTGATATTCAGATAAGAACAACGAAAAATTTAAATATTTACAGACATTTTTCCAAAAGTAGATTAATAACATTTAATTATAATCACAAGTTATAAATGTTGAACACATTAATTAGACTATTTAAATACAGAATTAACGATTGTAAATTTAAGTTATAAATATTTCCAATGTATACTTATGGTTAAAAAACTTAGCTATTTGTTTTATTATTCAATTTTAAACGTTTTTAAATTTAATCGAATTCAATATTAAAAATACCTTGACTAACGGCAGTATTAGTGATGTCGTGATCAACAAATAAACCCCATAACATTGTCATCAGCGTGCATCTGGATTCAACTTGAGATTTCCTCGTATATAGAGAATTACTAATCAATCTTGCGCTTGGCAAATCTTTACCACTTCGGCTCTTCCTCGGTGCCGAGATTTCTAGTGAATATTAATATTAAAAAGAGGGAAAATAAATAAAATAAGGAATCGCAATAGTCAAATGAACGGAAAGATCTGCAGGTGTATCTTTTTTCTTATTTAACAGGCTTACTTTTTCACTTTACACTGTTTCACTTTATAAATACACCAATATAATAAATTTATAAATACAGTATACAGTATATCCTGCATACATAAATCTAGTTTCAATGTAATAAAAAAAAATTATTTAACTTATACGTCTAAGCGATTTATTTTTGAAAAACATTTAAAAAATATGTCTACTCTATGCACATGAAAAACTAGCTTAAAATCGTCACGACACTTTTTACGTCACGAAAAAGAAAAAAAAAATATAAACTATTTATGGATTCGGGGTGCGGCACCCCGAATCCATGAATAGTCGCGAAATTTTGAACAAGTGGACGAAGTCCCATATTAAAAATCCTAGTGTAAATTTATCAGATTAAAGTATTTATATCATTATTTTATTAAATAATATAATAATATAGTTAAATAATAAGTTCGTCATAATATTTTGTTAGTTTTAAAAATATATTTTGAGAGGAACTCGATCCATAACAAAGCGTTTACGTTACTTTTAATTACGTAATGCATTTTATTTATTTTTTTAAATAATTGTTTTACTATATTTTTTCATACTTGCAAACAAACTTTGTTTTTGTAATTTCTGATGGAATTTGAACCGCAATTTAATTTAATTTAATTTATTGTGAAATTATTTATATTTTACCCAGTGCCTTAACTATCAGGTGCAACCCGCACAGGGCCCACTTGGAAGGGGAGCCCAAAATGCATGTATTTATTTTGTTATTTTCCCAAACCTAATTAATTAAGGGGCCTAAACGCAAATTCTTGCACAGGGCACAGGAATGGCTAGTTACGACACTGCTTTTACCGAATGCGTAACAATGTTTTTCAAAACATATACTCACAATTGGATCCTCAGATCCTCGGATGAATAAGATAATCCTTACATTTTAAAAATAATTGTTTTCCCCATATTCTTATGGTATACCTGCAGAATCATTCCATATTTACTTACGAATAAATATATATACTTACCGTCGCTGTAATCGGGATCTAATAATCGAATAAATGCCGAATATGAACTACCCCAATCTGGATTTTTCAAATTATTGCATCTTCCGTCTATTTCGCGATAAGGTTGTTTACTATTACAGTAAGTTGATGTATTTTGCATACAGCCATATTTTACCCCAGAAGTTTCGTCTCTAAATAAATAAATTACATATTGCATTAGTTTATATTTTGTAAACATATTGTAATTGTTGTTATCGAGATAATTTTACTTTAATAACTAGTTTACGCGTTTAAAATTACCTTTTCTTTAGTTTCTTTTGAGCATTTTCGGCAATAACGGCACAATTGGCTATTTCTCTGGCACGCTCTGTGCTTTTCAAAAATATTTGATGAAAATGAGCGGGAGAACCGTTTTTCAATCGAATATCTAATAAAATAGCGTGAAGAGTATAAATTCAGTCAAAAAGTGTCCAATTGTTTTGTAAATTAACCTTTTTTTTATCTTCTAAAACAATAACAGAGGACGAATCTAATATAAAATAATATATTAAATAATAATTCAATATAAATTTAAATCTTATATTATTATATAAGATTTAAATTGATAATTTTAAAAACTACAGGGTTTTATGAATATCGCTAACTTTCAAACGACCTACATAAAAATTAATTGACAAATTAATTTTTTATAAAAAATAAAAATAATAATAATAATTTATTTTATCAGTCATATTTACCAGAATAAAACGATCTCAAATTCGAAAGTTCTTGATCGGTGGAACCGTATATTGCCGATCCATCCAGGTAAGAAGTTATTTGATTTAATTGTTGACGATATACTGAAATAGGAATTTAGGAATATATCTCTGTTTTATATTTTAATAAATTCGAAATGTAAATTATTTACCAGAATATGGAGTTTTTACCGGACTGGCTCTCACAAATTCCATACAGGTTACGTTATATTGGCTATAAAATTTATCGTCTTTTGGTATTTTGATAGGATAACATTCGGGATGACAAAGGCTGTTGTTACTGAGTATATCTTCGTGGCAACATGTAATTGGCAATCCACTTTTGTCTAAATTAAAGAAATAATATACATATACACTGTATGCAGCCTTGACGAGAGGTGCGGCAAGGATTCTTACAGGGGGCTCGAGAGCCTTTCTTTTTTTGTTTCTCTGCCAAGTCATATCACTGTGATATGCGGTGGTGGGAATGTGGAAAAATCCCCCAAATAAATGAATTTTCGGGTCTTATTTGGATGGGGCAAAGGGAGCAATGTGGTCAAGGGAAATCTAGGAGCCCAGAGGTTTTACCGGGGCCCGTACTGTCTCTCCACGGGGCTGCATTATGTATTACAATTATATTAATATATGTAATATCTACGTTCGCGTATATCAAATTTCAGTAATAACATATTCAGTGATATTGTAAGTTGGTATCGGGAATACGTTTGTTTCAGATAAGAACAACGAAAAATTTAAATATTTATTAATTGTACATAAATATTTTTATTTTATTTATTTATTGATAAATCTAATGTCCCGTTAGAGATAGCATACAATTTTCGATTTTAAATCTCAAAATATGTTCTAAGAAAAATTTTTTTTTTAATTAACCTTTCTTTGTTAGTTCTTCTTCCAGTTCGTATTTTTCGTTTAGCTTATCTCTTCCGTAAAAATAATCCTTTTTCNTGCTAAATTTAATTTAAGTATAATATTAATAGACAAAAATAACCCCTGCATAATTTTATTGCTTTTACAAATAAATAATTAATAGGAGTTTTTTACATTAATAATACAGTAGTTTAATCTTAAACCTTCTTCTTCTAATTACTATAATTATTTCAAACTTTCTCAATTATAAAGGTATAGAATAAGTTTAGAAGTGTTATTTGCTACCGAATATTTTATTGATATAACTCTATTTTTTACTAAAAATATAAAATATTAAAAAGGAAAAAATCACCCGTAAGAAATTAACTAAAACATTGGCTTAATATACATTAAAAGATTAAAATTAAAGAAAATTAAAAGAGCAAATTAATTATGATCGTACCAAAAGTATATTAAAAATATTTGTAGATTTAAAAAATAATGGAATATGATCTCGAAAAATTCAGAAGCGTGGAAACTTCAGACACATTTTTGGATATTTTGCATATACTGTATTTAAGTATTACAAATAGCAAAATGTAAACACGTCGACTTTCTTTAAGAAGGTGTAGCCTATACAAGAAATCATCAAATATATGCAGTATAGGCTATATAATATTAGGATTTTTAGCAAACTCGTTTTGCAACGTATAGAACGAACACGCGCACCACAAATCATGCGATACGCATCCGTTTCGAGATTATCTGGAATCGTTTGCATTATACAGGTATTCGAATACGAGAATAGAGACTCGTACTCGTACCGAACGAAACGAACCGAACATATTTAGCCACGGGAAACGGGATGGGAATCTCGTCCTAACTGTTTAGAAAAGAAGACGTAATTTTCGAAAGTCAACAGTCTATTTCTGTTAATTTCAATGTAATTCTTCCTTTATATTAACTTACAACATACATGTAGCCTATATATAATAACCAAACAAATTGTCACTCGCGAGCTCTGCCGAAAGTGTAAAATCGTTCATACGATTCTTTATTCGAGACCAGCGTATCGTTCGTTCTCGAGTTCGTTCGGTGAAGTGAAAAACGTGACCTATCGTGAGAATCGAAACACGAATTATTTATTTAATTTAAAATATATGCTCTCCACTTTCATAAGTAATACATTATACTTTTCCTTTAACAACAGAGTCGTGATGGTCATCTATTAATTGCTTTCAGGGGAAAATTTTTAAATGAAATAATGGAACTTCCGATTTGCATCGAAGTTCGTATATAATTAATCAGGGCCTCCTACCTCTAATCTTTCCATATCTGGACTTGTCTTTCATCTATCTAACTCCGTTCTCGAGATTAAGGAAAGATGGACAGACGGATGGACAGTGGGAATTTATACGTCTACAGTTTTTTCAAATTTTTTCAATAACAGATTGAAGCCGACATCTCGACATTTTGTAGTGTGAGTATGCAGGTTTCGTTTAAGAAATTCCAGTATTCGTCTAACTGAAAAATTGAATTTTTCCACTTCGACTTTCTATTTTAGGATTAAACAAATGTTACGTCATATTTGTGATCTATGAAAACATATTATGGAAACGTTCATCGAAACGGCCGAAATTTATAATTTAATAACGTTAGCGAAAGCCGATGATCATAATTTTGATAATATTGGATGCCCGTATAGGCCTAATGATAACAGTAGATATTAAAGTATTCTCCTTTTAATATATAAATAATTCCAGTTATGGAAAAAATATTGTAGTAGTATAACTTTAAAAAAATACCTTGAAAAATTACCTTGGGGTCGCACTGTTAAAATGTTTGAATACCATTGGTATAAGCAACAAGTAGTTTCACTTAGGAATCAATCCCTTTGATCATGTGGTATTTCGAAACGTCATCTTGTAGCCATCGCCCNCTTTTAGAACAATCCGTATAAGGCGCGTCCACACATTCGCGCCGGAATTCGTGTATTTTCATCATTGTCGTGTCATCAGTCTTTTAGACAAGCTAGAATATATTACATCGAGTGGCTGTGACCGTGGTTACGGCGCTCTTGGTAGCAACGACGGGTATTACCTTGGGGTCGCACTGTTAAAATGTTTGAATACCATTGGTATAAGCAACAAGTAGTTTCACTTAGGAATCAATCCCTTTGATCATGTGGTATTTCGAAACGTCATCTTGTAGCCATCGCCCTTAGCTCTCAGCAAGGGAAATGCCAGTGAGCAAACAATACCGAATGTTCACTTAAATTAGAAATTTATTTTTTCACTCGAAATATTGTTTAAANTAATGTCCCGTTAGAGATAGCATACAATTTTCGATTTTAAATCTCAAAATATGTTCTAAGAAAAATTTTTTTTTTAATTAACCTTTCTTTGTTAGTTCTTCTTCCAGTTCGTATTTTTCGTTTAGCTTATCTCTTCCGTAAAAATAATCCTTTTTCATTTGTTCTTCTTTAATATCATTTTCTTTGTTTGATAGAGCTAAGATTTAACAAATGAATCGATTATAAGTAAATCAAAACAAATTATATAAACATACAGTTTAAATATTTATTTATAATCGTATAGTTTGGCTGATTAAAATTAGAATAAAATTCCAAAAATAAATTTAAAAGTTTAATTATTTTTTATTATGTTAGATAAATTAAAAATCAATAATTTTCTCCTTACCAATTAAATTTATGTCCTTTTCCGTATGTAATAAATGATAGGTACTTTCTCTGTTATCACTGTAACTTCGTTTTGAAAATATTAACCAAGCCAAACTAAGAAGAATTCCGACAACGATGAAACTAAAATTTGATAAATTTGGTGTTAGTGAATGTAACATTAATACAAAAATATTAAAAACAAGTATGCGTGCAATAATACATTTTTGTTGTTTTCGTTTTCTTCTGTAATTTTACACTTCAGAAAGATCTTATTCAATTTTGTAATGATTTTATTGTGATTTCATATAAATTTGATGATTATTTTTTTTTTTATTTAGAACTAGAATTAAGTTAAATTAAAATAAGAGGTAGAATTAAAGTGAAATAAAAATAATGAAAAATGCTAACTAAATCTGAACTATGTAAAAAAAAATTGCGTCAAGTAAAAGCTTATGACAATTTAGACGACTGTCAAAATTCTTAGGAGTTTTTCTTTGGTAAAGATAAGCGTTATATATTGTTGATATATACAGTATATTAAGATTTTTATATATTAAGATATTGTTGTCTACAAATCGTTTCTAAGCTTGGCGCTTAGAAGCGATTTGTAGACAACAATAATACAGGTAAAAATCTTGTGGGTACCGTTTCTGAGCGCCAAGTTTATCTTTACCTTAGAAAAACTCCTAAGAAAAATTTTGACAGTCGTCTAAATTGGCATAAGTTTTACTTGACGCAATTTACTTTACATCTCGGGTGCTTTTGTTCGGATAATAATTAAAAATATGAAATTAAAAAAAAATAAAATATCATAACACATTGGCGCCACACCGTTTTAAATGTTGCCGGAAAAGTTAAACAACTAGTTGCTGGATTTTTTACGAACAACAATTGCTCGTAACAGAGTTAACCTACGAACAATTAGCGTCTGTGTTCTTTTGTTGTAAGTAATAGTGTATTGTTTTGTTTTGTACAATAAAACTTTGCACCGCGTAACCGTAGCATGGTTCCTGGTCGAAAAAATCGGAAGTATGCAAATTGCGAGTGCCAATTTCCTCGATTTTCGGCTTTTAAACAGTCGTACGTCAGAAGTTCGACAGCGAATTCGAATTACAGACGTATTCCTAAAAGGTTTAGTCGCAAACAGTTAAGAGAAATCAAGAAGCGAACGAACTTCCCAGAAAGACCTGTGTCTTCATTTTTGTTATACTTCCGCGATCACCAGGGCGCTCTGAGATCGGAAAAGAAATGGAAAATAACAAAAGTTGCCAAAATTTTGGGGAAAAAGTGGAGAAATTTAGACGAAGATACAAAAAATCGTTACGTAAGTATGGCCGAAAAAGACTGAACTAGATATCGGAAGGAGAAAAATGCTCTTCATCCTTTGGCGTCAAGTCCTACGAAATTGCTCAAATACGAATCGAGGCCATATTTGCCGAAGAAAAATGTACCCGCTTTCATGTTCTTTTATAAAAATACGTATCGGTACGAGAGAGAGAAAAATCTTACGTTGAAAGTTTGGCAAGTAGCTAAGAAATTAGGAAGAAAATGGAAGGGTATGGAGAAAGAAGAGAAAGAGGAATACCTAGAGATGGCCGGCAGAGACAGAGAACGATACTATCAACAGAAGAAAGGAATGACTCATCTAGATCCAAAAATGGTTTCGTCCGGTCGTGAAATAAACTATTTCGATCCGTTTAAATTGCTGTTCAAAGACAACGAACGAGGCAAATATAAAAGTCTAAATGGGATACTCGAGTATAAATATCTGTTAACTGTGTTGTTTCTGAGAATTGTATTCGATACCAATCCATTCGCAACTCTGCAATAATTGCAAAAAACTTTCAAAATTGTCAAATCCTTTCCGAATTAATAAAATAAAGCAATTCTAGTTATTTTCTTCTCCCGCCGGCACTGAAAAGACATTTTTCGTATCTCCAGACCCGGGTTCCTTGGCCAGTCACTTACTTCGAATGTCGTGGTGGGTCGGATCCTTCTGTAACGGGTGGAATTATGCCTTGTTCGTATAGCTTTAATATGCTGTTTTTTAAAAGTATTTTATATATTTAAATTTTATACAAATACAGATTATATTGTTATTATACGTTTGCAGAGGTGAATCGTGTGCTAGGAAACGTGACGTCATTGCCGTATCGCGTAATGCCTCCACTATTCGGCGAAAAAAAACGAAGCATCCACCAGGAGAATGTTCTCGGGAAACGTCACGGAGGTCACATGACTGCAAGACGTAAAATGAGGTCATGTGACACGTTCTTGCATGGCCTAATTCGACTGGCTACTTCAGGATATTAGTAGAATGCTCTTCTTACATCTTCCTGTTCGAATGATCAGTAGAGCAGTTTGGGTCACTCATCTATTGTAATTAAATTACTCTTTTTTGGAGTTGCCATTAATCTAATCCTTGCTCGGTAGAGCATTCGTCCGAATTCTCCATAGGACTCTCACATATAGACTATATAGAGCAGTGGGCATATAATAGTCATTGAGGGAGCTTTAATGTCTCGTTGCAAAGAATCAGCTGAAGCCAATCGCTGCCATATTGGTAATCCTTAAATTCGTATCTTTGCAGTTGGAATTGGATGCTCTTCAGTGTAGTTAATATACAGTAAACCCCTGCTAATCCGCTAATATACAGTAAATCCCCAAATGATATATAAAGTGTATAGTGTACTGGTTATATGATGAATCATTTCTGTTGAAACTGAACAACTATTTCACACTATGATAATTAATAAAACTTTTAATTTACAAAAGGAACATATATTAACACTAGAACTTCACACAGTTCGTCCATGTCTGAAGAACAAAAAAAAACAAAAAAAAAACAAAAAAAGGGCGGGGGAAAAACAAGAGGGCACTCAAGAGAAAAAAACGACTAGTGTTGCACCAAAAAAAAAACAACAGATCATGAAAATGTTTAGAAAAATATTTTCCTTATTTTTCAACAATTTCGAATCTCCAATACTGTCATACGGAAATTAATTACACAAAATTCATACGTGTGGTCGAATCACTTTCAACTAAGGTAGGCTCAGCTGCATAGTTACCAGTATATAACTAATCTGACTGAACTTGTTCTTTTTAATATGATAGCAAGAACACGAACATTACCGATTTTTTTACTAACCACGATTGCATGGATTTACTTATTTGCATAAACTGTTCTTTCACAACCAGTAAAGTAGTAGAACATGAGGATTACAGTTACAATAACTGCAATAGTCATTGGAAACGTTCATATTTTGTTACAGGATAACCACCAGTTAGCCAGTGAAATATCTGCCAAGAAATAACACCCAAAGTAGTTGGAGCTTCAGTTTCTTCGTTTTATCACCGACTGTTCACGGCTTGTTTGCGAAAGGTCATCGTTTTGAGCATCTTTAAATTGTAAACAAGAGATTATTTCAAATGAGGAAAGCAGAAAAGAGAAATAATGTACGTACTTACTTTCACCATGGACGAGTATTAAATTTTGCATCTCGTTAACCGATGATAAGCCTAATAAATTTTTTGCCAATTTGAAACCGTGTCGTTGTACGTTTTTGTTTCTTAAGCACTATGAAGTGCAATTAATCGAACACTAGGCATCCTTTCATCCTTTTATTTGTTCTTTTAGTTGACTAAAAAACAAATAAAAGGATGAAAGGATGCCTAGTGTTCGATTAATTGTATTTTATAATGCTTGAGAAACAAAAAAGCCTAATAATACCAACGAATGAAATGCAAGTAAAATTAATAATTCATTCACATTTTACAACTCCGAACGAAATACCGCAAGAAAATTTTGTAAAATTATCTTGCCCTTCACCAGCATATCTTCTTTCCTTGTGACTGTTAAACTAATTATTAATTGTCAGTTCTGACCTGTATGCTATTACAAACTAGCAGGACATGTTAACTTTACACGATTGTATCCCGGATACTTTGCCTACATGTTTCTCCGTACAATCGCCTATGGCACGTTTCTTTTGAGAAACACGAGTTTGACGATGGTGTTTGGAATGTCGAGCGTGATTCCACCGACTATCCAAACACCATTGTCAAACTTTTAGGCTTACGGGAAAGCGGCGCCGAACGTCACACGTACACGTTTACACGTTTAAAACGTGCGCCTCAACCTCTCTACTATAATAGCGTACTTTACTGTACATAATATTATACATAATAATAATACAATATTGTTCAAAACGTTTTGTAGACTATTCAGAAATTTTTGAAACATCCAATCACACGTCAGTATACTAATTACAGTATTCTGATACTGTATATGATTGGTCTATTTGAATCTAACGCTAACGTTCTGGCACGTATTGCGCAGAAGCAGCCATTTTAATCTTTTTCGTATTCTAAAAAATTGTTAAAGCATGAAAATTTATAATTAGGAAAAGACTTATTTAATAAAATTAATATACACAGTATACGCATATAAAATGTTTTATATTTTAAATTAAAATACTGCATAATTAAGATTTAGGTGTTTCTTAATAATAATGTTGGCTATTATTTTCATATAAAAAAAATTATAACCGTGTTCATTTTTATAAAAACAACATAATTTAATTTAAAAAGAAGTAGACGTTAAAAATTTATACTTATTCTTAAATCAATTTGATAAATTAGACCGTTCGNTAACAGCACCTCTGGCCAGCGTGCACTGACACACGTTTGGAGCTATTGCCAGGACGCTTCGGAAAACACTAGAGCCAAATAGTTGCCGTTAATAGTTTGGCCAAAACCTTGGTATCTCATATTTGGCGCCTATCTCATAATAGGCATCTTTACCTTATATAAAAACTGTGTTCATAAATTCTAGAAAGTGTGCTGCAAATTAATGGCAGCAAAATGCATCAGAGGTGTTGGAGGTTTTTAATTTTTTTACATATTCTTTTTTGTTGATTTTAAATCTCTGTTTATAAATTTCGAACTATTAATAAGTCGTCCGGTCAAGCAAAAACAGAGGAACAAGATATTTGCATAACATATCACATGATCCCGGCATCGAAACTGATTGATTTCTTTTCTCTCTAATCGTATTGTAGGAAAGTATCTGTACGGCGAGATTTGACCGCGACAATTGTATACGAAAAAATTACGTAAATCTAAAAATATCTAAAAACAAAAAAGAAAATTACATTATAACACAGTAACTTTTAGAACAATCCGTATAAGGCGCGTCCACACATTCGCGCCGGAATTCGTGTATTTTCATCATTGTCGTGTCATCAGTCTTTTAGACGAGCTAGAATATATTACATCGAGTGGCTGTGACCGTGGTTACGGCGCTCTTGGTGGCAACGACGGGTATTATCACTTTTACAAAACGAGTTGGAATATTTTAGCTTGTTGCCTTTACACAGCAAAAATGCCATGCTCCTTTGACTAAAAGGAAAACTGCAAACATATATTCAATTTCCCTCAAACATGGCGTCTATGTAGTATATTCTAACTCCTTGCACGTTATCCACTGCCCAACAAAAATAAGTAACACCTTACTTCTATCCGAAACTTTGAAAAATAGAATTTACAATCGTCGATACCAAATAACTTTAGTCTATTAAGGGATCCGATTATTCATTCGATCCATTTTCTTTACATTCTCTTTCAAAATATTCTGCCATTTTACCGTCATCAGAAGTATTTTCCATTTATAATTTAATCATCTGTAAATTAATCTTTCATTTGTGTATGTACTGTACAATGCATAACTTCAAACCAATTTGCTACTTCCCGGACAACATACATGTCGATGGCTTTAAACGTGTGACTTGCTTTCGGTCGTATTGTTAGGATATAGTTTAATCCATTAACTTTTATAAAATATTGGCTGTAAAGCAAGAAGTCGTCGGATCGTCTAGTCCAGGGGTCAGCATTTTTTTTCACAGCGGGACAGATAACTGAGAGAATGACGAGCGGGCCGCATAACCATTTTATTATAGTATACTGAATACACAAAAATAAAGAAACCAACATATTCATTTACCAATGCACAAACACGATGGTTGTAATCACTACTCAGAAACTTCATTGCAGGTACAGTATTCACACAAAAAGCGCTCTGATATCCAAAGTCGCAAAAAGCCGCCGAATTTTTCATTTTACTGATTTTCCTAAAATTTATATCATTGTCAAATTCAAAAATCAAAACTGAACCAATTTTGGCATTTTTACTTACTATGTAGAAAAAATTAAAATAAGTGTAACTTCATCTACATTTATGATATTTTCATATAAATATAATTATATTTTAACTCATTCGTGGCACAGTGCGGCGGCAGGCCGGACGAACTGATATCGCGGGCCGTAGTTTGGTGACCTCTGGTCTAGTCCGAAGGGACAGCCTAGGGAATAGAGGAAAAGGACATACTTCAAAAAGTGTTTGGTATTAATTTATACAGAGGAAAATATTTGATAGAAAATAAGATTGTCGAGCATTTGTTCTAATAAAAAGAAAATAAAACAAGAATGAATGGAGGAAAAAACATCGAAAGACGAATAACTTTAAAAATACAAGAAAAAAATTACAGTACTTTAATCCATCCCAACACGTCCGCAGACTATAAAGGGCATCGTACGTACTGTACGTTATGAAAAAAACCTGTATACAGTATATATATAATTCAGTAAACAAAAACAATTACTTTTACCTAAGTTACTTAATAAATGTTAATGGTATAAATATAACACACAAACACGACGATTGCGTATTTACAATACAAAAAGTAACCTTTGTATTGTATCGACAACATAAAGTAGGCTATTATCGAATTGTCTTTTAATTGTCCTATTGAAATTATTACGACGATAAAATATACTAACGCCATTCGATTGTATTCTACGCGTAATTGTTTTGCTCGTGTTTAATTCGAAACTATGAATAATTTAAACAATTCGAAATAATTATCGGATCAATTTAACAACTAATTATTTTAGAAACAATTAAAAATATTTTGGTGGAGATGAAAAAAGGTCCTCAGTCAATATTTTTATATAAAGTTTTTTTTTTCGTATGGTCGACGTCGTCGGACGTTTTTATAAATAACCAGATGTCAATTAACCGCATTTATATAGCCTAGATTTTTTATCTGATGGTATGACGTCACAATCGTACGATTATATTCACGCGGTTTAATACTCTTTGGCCATTCTTAAAACGAAATAACGAAAAATGTTACCCTTATATTCTTCGGTTACGCTTTAAATTGGTTGGGAAGGATAACCCATGACGATTATAATAAGTTGATCACTTTATAGAAATCGATGGATGATTTTCGTCACCGTTCTTTACCGAATTTACGGATTTTTAGAACGATTCTCGTAATTTTTAACGACAAAACAGACGATTTAATAAATTAATCGGAAGCGGAACCGAGAATTTCGAATTAATTTCGATGGTTCCGACGTACGGAGTTAAACCGGTCGAACCGGAAGTAAGTGACTCGATGGATATTTTTTTTTTATTTTCGTCGATACGACTTGCGGATCAAATAACGGATCGAATTAAACTTCATTTATGTACGGAAGAATATTTAATTTCTAACACAGCTATAAATTAAATCGATCGTGTTTAACATCCCGGAGTGTATTAAACACCAGCGGATATCGCAGGTTAACGCATTAAATAGAAAGTCAATTCAGAACTAAAAATTGAAATTTATCTTTCAGAAGTTACTCGTGGCCTGGAGCGAAATATACATATTTACGCTTCCCTACACCGACTACACAATGAATTTCAAAATTTCTTTGTATATCACGTTTAAAGTGGTAATCCGATAGAACCCAACTTTTTCTGGATGACGATTCAGTGAACCCGACACCGATTCTTATAAAATGTCAATGGCGCAAAAAGTTTCTTACCCTAAACAAAGTGAAGTTTTAGGTAAATTTCTGAAGTTCTAGAACATGATATCTCCGGAACGGATCGTCCGATCCGAAAACAAAGTTTATTGCATATCCTCGAATCCTCGTCTATCTATCGACACCTAATTGACCCATCGACATACCGTGATCCATTTCTTCTATCGGGGCGGCGAATCTTTTTTTGCATACGTGAAATTTTCATTGGAATGTCGTTCCATCGTCCAATTACAGACGAGCGCGCGAAACTCAAACGTTTTAAACTCGAACTGTCCGATTGACATTTTTTTAAGTCCAACGGACAAAGACGTTTTGCCTTGCCGTGGATACATCTTTTTTTTTTCAAATTTCGAAAATCCTTTATAATAATTTTTTATTCAATTTGGCCGAATTCAAATGCTGAATTTATTAATTTAACGATGTTAAATTTTAATCTTTCGAAAAATTGTGTAAATATAATGTTTAACCCCTTCCACCTAAAATAAAATACGTAATCATTTCAAACTACAAATTTTAGCGTGTATTGCTGAAACTTTTAACACGCGTGGTGCGCATTTCGGGCGTTTTTGCCTGGATACGTAATTTAGTGATGTGCCGGATATCCGTATCCGTGGGGGAAAAAGAGCCGTATCCGTATTCGTATCCGTTACTTTTTAGCGGATCTTTAACGGATCTTTTATCTTAATGATTTTCATTACTTATATCAAATTTTAAAGATAGGTAGCTATAAAATACTAACAACGTCAATTCAAATAACTTTTTATTTCTTAAGATTACATATTTGGCATATTCATATTGCAAAAATTTTATCATGCAAAAATCANAAAAAAAGCAGTGAAAAAGTTCTTTACTCACAATACTAATTTTAAGGAGAATTTTTAAGGGAGAATAGTTTTATATTCTGAATTACTTTTACTTTAACGCAGTAGTTAATTCTACTGCGTTAAAATAAAAGGAATATAGGGATATCCCTTTTTAAAAGGAATATTCAGGAATATAAAACTATAGTTATTACTTACATGTATATATATAAGCAGTAACTATATTATATTCCGGAATTACTGCATGTAGGCTTATATATGTATAATGTTTGAAAAGAAAAATTCTATACATCAAAAATATGATTAAAAATGCAATTAATATAATACTGAGACATACTAAAACAGAATAACATTACTAAATTTCCTTTTTATTGATGCTATTCGCTTTTAATGATTCACCTCAACACGCAAAAGTTCAAACATCTTACTGTGATTGAGAGAATTACAAATGTCGAATTAAACAAAAAGCTGCACGGGGTTGTTCATCCTATTATCTTGTTTTAAAAAATTATCAAAAATTTCTAAAGCAAGTATGTCTTTTGCAGATTATTCAAAAACTATTATTTTCTAAATAACTATAAATATAATTCAGATTTTTTTTATCGTGAGTCTAACAAGCTTGAGTTTTGTTATCATTTTAATATTTGTAATGGAATAACAAGATTTGCCGGGTTTTTAAATAAACGTGAGGAAGAGGAACATATTTGAATTATTTTAATCAATTGCCATGCGGAGAAATTTTATATTATAATGCTTTGAATTATTGCAATATTAACTAAATTTAATTTTGTCGTATAAACAAAGATATTAATTATATTTTTTAAAATTATAAATTATTTATTTGTGAGTAAAATCATCTACAGACACGCAATAATTTGATCTATATAATATTAAATAATGGAAATAATAACTATAAACTTTTAAACCAAACTTCTTTCATAAGTGCGAATAAAGTAAACATGTTTAAATATATACTATAGCTTAGCTACGATTTATTTAACACGATAAATTTATTTAAAATGATTATTATTTGTTAATTATAAAAAATAAATAAGAAACATACATTAATGTCAAATTATAAGCCAGCTTTCTCCGTCTCGCTAAAGGTTCACGATCTCGTCTAGCAGAAGACGAAGGTAACAAACGACTATTCTCGTCCATCTAAGAAAATTTAAGAAAGTTTAAAACTCGTTAATCAGTCTTAAATACTAAAAGTCACAGTAAAAATCGCCATTTTTATAATATAATTAAAGGATTTAACTTTATCAAATGGCAGCGATCTAGGCCATCTGCGTGCAATTAGTATTCTAGAAAGGTAACCTCGGAAATATTCGCTTACATAAAATTATATTCTTCAGCCGTTTAGAATTCAATAGTAATTATTAGTTAAATTTTTCTACATTATATTTATTTAGTCTCTACGTATATACAACGTCGTTTTTTTTATTGTTATTCGTATTTTAACGTTACAGGAAGTATCATCTACAAGTCTTTTAAATATAATTTTTAAAAGAATTCTAGCTAATATTATTGTAATATCAATACATGTGGAAATGATATTTTAAAAGCTACGACATTAAAAAGTTTCGTTTAATGTTACCGAATTTATGATATTTTATCAAGGTAATTGAGGAAGACGACGTTCTGTATCTTGTGTTGGCCGAGAAAATTCGGTCGTGCGGTGTTTCCTCATTTTGCCAAAATTAAATATGGTTTAAAAATTTTCGGTTTAAAGTTTAACGATAATAATTTTCTTACCTGGTTACTGTTGTTCTCACTGTAGGAAAGAATTTCTCATCGTAGATGAAGGATCGTATGTCTTAGCCTGGGGGTCTGTCCTTCAGAGCTAGTTAAAAAAGTAAAAAAAAAAAAAAAAACTTATCGCAACCGGAAAGTCACATGATGAATTGATTAAAATGTTCGTCACCTTGTATCATTTTTCATTTACTTTTTTTTTCTATTTAAAATTAAATAAAAACGTATTAATTTATAGAGCATCTGTTTATATTAAATCTATTTAAAATAATTTATTTTATCATAATGTTAATCCCTTATAAAATTAATCAAAATCCCTTATTTCTTTCGGTTTAATATTTAAATTATTGAACTGTATCGAATAATTTTGATACTTTTCAAAATAATTTTTAGAAAAAATTTTTACCGACGTCAGCACATCAAAGATTCGATTAATTTTGAAATATTTTCGTTATTTTATTTATTTATAGAAGCGAAATGAAACAAAATTAAATGATGCGAGTGTGTTTTAATTCAATTTGTACGATTTAATAAAATTACATGAAATACTGTAACATACATTAACTAATTTTAATGCTAAATTTAATTTAAGTATAATATTAATAGACAAAAATAACCCCTGCATAATTTTATTGCTTTTACAAATAAATAATTAATAGGAGTTTTTTACATTAATAATACAGTAGTTTAATCTTAAACCTTCTTCTTCTAATTACTATAATTATTTCAAACTTTCTCAATTATAAAGGTATAGAATAAGTTTAGAAGTGTTATTTGCTACCGAATATTTTATTGATATAACTCTATTTTTTACTAAAAATATAAAATATTAAAAAGGAAAAAATCACCCGTAAGAAATTAACTAAAACATTGGCTTAATATACATTAAAAGATTAAAATTAAAGAAAATTAAAAGAGCAAATTAATTATGATCGTACCAAAAGTATATTAAAAATATTTGTAGATTTAAAAAATAATGGAATATGATCTCGAAAAATTCAGAAGCGTGGAAACTTCAGACACATTTTTGGATATTTTGCATATACTGTATTTAAGTATTACAAATAGCAAAATGTAAACACGTCGACTTTCTTTAAGAAGGTGTAGCCTATACAAGAAATCATCAAATATATGCAGTATAGGCTATATAATATTAGGATTTTTAGCAAACTCGTTTTGCAACGTATAGAACGAACACGCGCACCACAAATCATGCGATACGCATCCGTTTCGAGATTATCTGGAATCGTTTGCATTATACAGGTATTCGAATACGAGAATAGAGACTCGTACTCGTACCGAACGAAACGAACCGAACATATTTAGCCACGGGAAACGGGATGGGAATCTCGTCCTAACTGTTTAGAAAAGAAGACGTAATTTTCGAAAGTCAACAGTCTATTTCTGTTAATTTCAATGTAATTCTTCCTTTATATTAACTTACAACATACATGTAGCCTATATATAATAACCAAACAAATTGTCACTCGCGAGCTCTGCCGAAAGTGTAAAATCGTTCATACGATTCTTTATTCGAGACCAGCGTATCGCTCGTTCTCGAGTTCGTTCGGTGGAGTGAAAAACGTGACCTATCGTGAGAATCGAAACACGAATTATTTATTTAATTTAAAATATATGCTCTCCACTTTCATAAGTAATACATTATACTTTTCCTTTAACAACAGAGTCGTGATGGTCATCTATTAATTGCTTTCAGGGGAAAATTTTTTAATGAAATAATGGAACTTCCGATTTGCATCGAAGTTCGTATATAATTAATCAGGGCCTCCTACCTCTAATCTTTCCATATCTGGACTTGTCTTTCATCTATCTAACTCCGTTCTCGAGATTAAGGAAAGATGGGCAGACGGATGGACAGTGGGAATTTATATGTGTACAGTTTTTTCAAATTTTTTCAATAACAGATTGAAGCCGACATCTCGACATTTTGTAGTGTGAGTATGCAGGTTTCGTTTAAGAAATTCCAGTATTCGTCTAACTGAAAAATTGAATTTTTCCACTTCGACTTTCTATTTTAGGATTAAACAAATGTTACATCATATTTGTGATCTATGAAAACATATTATGGAAACGTTCATCGAAACGGCCGAAATTTATAATTTAATAACGTTAGCGAAAGCCGATGATCATAATTTTGATAATATTGGATGCCCGTATAGGCCTAATGATAACAGTAGATATTAAAGTATTCTCCTTTTAATATATAAATAATTCCAGTTATGGAAAAAATATTGTAGTAGTATAACTTTAAAAAAATACCTTGAAAAATTACCTTGGGGTCGCACTGTTAAAATGTTTGAATACCATTGGTATAAGCAACAAGTAGTTTCACTTAGGAATCAATCCCTTTGATCATGTGGTATTTCGAAACGTCATCTTGTAGCCATCGCCCTTAGCTCTCAGCAAGGGAAATGCCAGTGAGCAAACAATACCGAATGTTCACTTAAATTAGAAATTTATTTTTTCACTCGAAATATTGTTTAAAAAATGTAAACATAATTTTAAATAAAATTGTACTAAATTTTTGTATTTTTACGATTTATTTGATTAAATTATTAGAGAGGTTGAGGCGCACGTTTTAAACGTGTAAACGTGTACGTGTGACGTTCTGCGCCGCATTCCCGTAAGCCTAAAAGTTTGACGATGGTGTTTGGAATGTCGAGCGTAATTCCACCGACTATCCAAACACCATTATCAAACTTTTAGGCTTACGGGAAAGCGGAGCAGAACGTCACACGTACACGTTTACACGTTTAAAACGTGCGCCTCAACCTCTCTA